CTGCTATCCTTAACACTGCCATTGTCCATCGACTTAGCTAAAGGTCGATATGCTGAACCTCATTCATTTCACAAAGGCCTAGCTTGACCAGGATTTGAACCTGTGCCCACTAGTACGTGGGTAGGGCGACTTAACCATTTGGCTATTAGTCTAGTTCAATCAATCTAGATAACTTTATTTCTAATTTCTTTGTTGTTATTTTGTATTCCTGACTATATTTTGTCTGATAGTTAACAGTCGTTGCCTTTAAATTGGAATATTTTATATATTAAATGGGGATTTAAAATTCGGACTTCAATATATCGAAGTTTCGTTGTCCGAATTAACGTTGATCAAAGTATAACTGTATAAAAAAACAATTATACACTGAACTACTAAAGGAGAATAAATATAAGTTCTTTTTATTATTATTTTTATATAGATACACATACACATTTTTATAAAGAATTTAATATTGTGTTATGAAATGTTATAATTGTTTAGAAAATAAATTATTCTGCATACAATAGTTATTAGTCTCGTAATGAATGATATTCTCAAGACTAGATATACCAATATATCTTTCGCAATCAATATAATTAACCTTACATTTAATTGAGTTTTTTATTGTTCCATTAAATATTATTATTTTTTTACTTTTATCTTAATCCTAAATATGTATATAACCATATTATTTATATATGTATGTAATACAATTGCAAATATGATATGCAATTGTATGAATATATTAATTTAAATTTATATTTGGTTTTCCTATTCATTGTTATACAAAAATGGAACAACTGCACATAGGTTTAACTTATTTTATTTTGCTATTGGTGGTCCAATATTTCTTTATCTATTTATTATACATTGACCGCAGTCTATCTGTCCTCGAGTAATAATACTTTTACTTTATTATATTAATTATTTTTTAAAGTTGTAACTATTTTTTCCAATTATTTTTTCTTCTTGAGTCTACCTTCATCTTGAAAGTTTAAATGATAGTTAATCTATTGGAATATAAAATATATAATAAAAAATAAATTTCCTTAAGTCTCGTTCGTTGAAGTGTATTAATTTTTTATAACTTTTAATTAAAGTTAATGATTGAGACTTTAGTAATGACGAGTTTTCCCTGTTTTGTTTAGCATCATATAAATCGATCTAAGGGGTTTTACTTATGATTTATTGTAAACTAGATTAAGATGTTTACTTTATTATATCAACTAATTATATGTAGTTGTTCCCTTAACGATATTACTAAAACTAATTTAAAATATATAATTTACATTAGCAGTAAACTATTGTTAATGCTACTCCGAGTTGTAATCTGGTAGGACTTGATTCAAAAGTTCAGTCACTCTATTTGATGAGATTTGTCTTGTGCTGATAACTTGTATTAATTCATATATAAAAATGTATTGTAATAAGGCCATTGACTCCGTCAGTATATAATTTTAATGGTTATCACATTGTTATCTATTTTGAAATGCCTTAACAAATCATTTAATTGATTATTTTAGCATTAATGCTGATTTACTATCAATCTCATTCTGACTGTAGATTATATTTGTATTCATTATCAAACTCATAAATATTTAATTACAATAATTCATACAAATAAAATTAACTCTACATTATCATCGACGACAACATATACAGAAGACCTCGTTTAGCGCTACCGCGATTAACGCTGATTTGCTATAACGCAGTTTGCTAGAAACATTAAAAAGCTCAATGAAAGAAAAATAAAGCGATAAATGACTGGACGATTTTATTGCCAAAAAATAAAAAATATCAGAAGAGTCAGGACCAGGACCTAGATCATAAACTTAATATTTCTGTGTGCAATTTTTTCTGTTATATAAAACATATATAGTCATATAGTACATATAGTCATTGACATTATTTATAAATACAACTTAAAATTAAAGTAAAATTTGTTTATTTTTGGTCGCGTGTTCCCATTAACCTATTTGCTATGTGTTAAAATGACCTCTTATAACGATATTTCGTTTTACTGTATATATATATTTTGCAACTCATTCTATAAACATACATACATTACGCTTTACTTGCATATATTATATCTCTTTTGTTCAGAAATTATAAAGCTGCCAAAATGTAATGATCATTAGTGATATAATTAACATATGTTTGACGTTATTAAATGTTGTCATAAAGCACATTTTTCCTTCTGAAATATGGAAGTTTATAATGAACATAAATCCAACTTTCCGTGCATTATATAGTGTAATTGACGCCGTTCATTATACGAGATACGACCTAAAAGACTTAGTGCAGTGGCTTCAAAGGTACCAGTAATAAGAGATAACGAACGTTAGATAATTAAAGTCCTGAAAAATATTATTCTTCCGTGTTACATAGGAATCCGTATTACAATTATTATCCGGTTCGTCTATGGTTCAACAGCAAAGTGATCTCAACCTCGTACGTGCATTTAATTTCAGGAAATCCCCCTGAAAGATGTATCATCATCGTCGTCTAGACCTGTGCATTACGTAACTGTGAGGTCGGCGTTTCACCAGTTCCTCTTTTTCTTTCACGCTTAGCAGTTTAATTGCAGTCGGTTGGAGACGAGGTGTAAGGGTTTGCACTTTTTTTCTTCTCTTCATCCAAGAAAATAGACTTCGATCCGGGATTTAATTGCGAGGCGGTCGCATTAATTTGTTAACGGTTTAGCAACTCCGCGTTCTTAATTTAATCTTCGTTCTTCGCATTTATCGAAGAATCCTTCTCCATCCTCCACCTCCTTCCTTTTTCAATCCAGTTGCCAGCATCATCGAAACAATAAATACGTCCACCAATCGCGTCCAATTAGTTCTCTCCATTAGCATAGATCCGTTCAATTAATGACTCATACGTCGGCTTCAAGTGCATCCGCTAAACTAAATCTATTTGCTTCGAGCTGACTACGTTTACGGCTATTACATTTTTGATCTAGATTCGCAGTCGAATAACGTTTATTATTAATTTCCAATTAATTTGTAATTTACTTTTATTGACTTCTTTAATGTTTATGGCAAGTACGGTTCGTTACCGATGATCGTTAAACTCAAAATACATTTAAAACATTAGCTGGACTAATCTTTTGACAAATAGTGTACTATAATTCATTTTCTCAACAATCTTAATAACAAGTAATTTCAAACATATGATTTAACATTGAAATTATTCTTATTATATTTTTTTATATAGTGTATTTAATAAGACAAATATATGTAATAATTTAAAGTAATATTTCGGCTAAAGTTACCTCTGACAACAAAGCTTTTAGATAACTCAATTTCAACAGTCATTTATTATAAAAATATTCCAATTTAAGGCCGACGCCCGAAAATAACATTAAAAGTTAGAAAATAAATTATCCAGGTAGCTCAATCAATATCATTTGGAAATGTCGATGAAGAAGATGTTAGAATTTATTGAATACAGAAGATGATGGTTTTTTAATGGAAGAGAAAAAAAACATATAACTATATCATTTAATTCACCATTAAGTACACAATACTTTCATTTATTACAATGATTTGTTTTCCACATAACAATGGTTATCATAACAATTATACATATACTTTACTTATATCGATTCTAATTTGATTTATTTGCAATTGAACTTATGTTTCACATGGGAGTGTGCTGGGTCGAATTTTATGTCTTCTGTATACTGCAAATATACCAAGAAAATACAATGCAACGAAAATCCTATAATTGCGTCGAGATACAATTATGGGACTTTCAGGAAGAGCTTAATTTGCTTGATATATGGCTTATAAAATGACGAATTGGTATAAACCAGTCCAAATAATTGCATATCACATTCACCTTAAAACGAGACATATGTCCTCCAGTCAAACTCAACAAAGTAGTTCCAACATCTTCAAGGTATATTAAGGCATAGTGTGAACATCTAGAAATAAAATTTATAATGTTGTATTGGTTGCTGCGTGCAAATTAAGTACACAAATAATATTATGTTTACAGAGTTTGTTTATTTAAATTGCTTTTTTCAATTAAATAACCTAGTATTAAAATGCAGAGGAAATATGTTATATAGAGATATTTCTAACGTACTTCCTGGTACCGCAAGTAGTTATATATTTTTTTTAATTATTTATTTAAAATTAACTACTTGAATTTCTTAATATTTTAATCTCGTAAATATAACAAAATTTTTAGAACTGTACTTTAGTAATACATTTTTATAAATCAGGACTACCTATGGTTTATATTTGTATATATTAGGTTTCTAGTCTATTATTATTTACTGCAGATAATTAATATAAAGCTGATCTTAGTAATTGTCTAGTTATTTATCAATTATCCATTAGAATAAATTGAAAAATATTTTATAGCAACAGTTACATAATTATATCAGTAATCAATAACAAAAAATCGAATACATTGAATATTTAATACGTGTATTATAACGGGCTATTGACCGTAGGTCTTTCCACCAAAGATATAATAACATTAATTAACGTTATGTGTTAACTCCCATTTGAAATTTTCTCATTTAAATATGCAAATAATTGCGTATAAAAAAATATTTATTTTGTATTATAAAACCAAAATTTTATAAACAATATATAACATTTAACAAATATGGTTAAAGTTTATCAATTAATTGGAGAATATATAAAGAAACCAACATATTTATTTACGTTAAAATGAAGTTTTGGCTAAAATAATACTTTTATATTGATAACACAAAATAATAAACTTAATCATGTATGTTAATAGAGTCTCTTAATGAAATTATGAAGTTAGTTCTTTGCTAATTCGAATTTACACTTCATCCGTAACATATATATTGTATAAAAATACTTAATTATAACTATTCTAATAATTTACAAATCAAAGTGAAAATATATTTTATAAAAGGATCAAAAACTTTGACAGTAATTAAAAAAATATATACATTTTACTTACATAATCAACGAAGGAGTAAATGGACATTGCATATTTGTTTTACTATATATTTTTTTTCATTTTAGGTTCAAATTGTAGTAACTCCTTCGAGAGGCCGAGACGGAGGAGCCGAGATTAAAGTATGCGGGCCAAATGGTAGCATCGGGGGTGGAAACAGTCCCCAAGTGTCAAGAGGAAGATCAGCCTCCCGACGTCTGCCGCCCATCCATAATTCTCAAGGTATTACATTCTCTCTCTGTCTCTCTATTTGCGACCCCGTTCAGAATTTACGGTCCGAAGGCACCTGCAACCCTCCCCGTACTAGAAACATATCATCCACATCCACCCTAAATGAAATACAGTCTTTCAAGTTCGCTCCTTCTACTTAAACTTACCTAATTTGTTATAAATTCATAATTCTGAATATGCCATCATTCGGAGTGAAGTTTCCGCCCAGCTTTACTACTTACAATAAATTAAAGTCTCTCCTCCGGCCTTATCTTTCCATATAACTTTATGTACTCATTAGCGAAGAGACTCTTAAATCTTTGAACCTCGAGCGTTTTAAGACCGGCATCTAATTTAATCTAAGATGGACGAGTTCCATTTCGATACCTGGCAAGGATTGCTCAGATTGAGATTGTATTGTGTTTTATGCAACAAGTGAAAAGATAGAGTATGAAAGAGAGAGAGAGAGAACAGAGAGAAAGATTACACACCGACAACAGGTGGTAAGTGTGTGTAAGTGCAATTGGAAATCCATTCGTTACGGCACGAATGGAAAGGAACAGAACGGAACGGCTACCGCCTCTTCCCAAAGAGACCATAAATTGATTGAAAACCTTCATATTGTACATTTCGAATTGAATCCGGACCACAAAAGCTCGGGGAAAACGAAACAAATACAGGGTCGACAAAAAGTAGGGTAACGAACTGCACTATATTGGCGATTAATCTGGACGGCACTAAAACTTAATTGAAACTTTGAAGAGCTCTGAAAATAAAAGAAAAAAAAGTCTGCGCCGTGAAGAGAAAATAAATCCAGATGTTATTATTGCATCGTAACAGCTTGCACTTTTCAAGAAAGCCGTATTATATAATTTCATCGCAATAATTACTTCAATTTCAGAGCAATTATAGAGAATCACGATTGCTATTATGATCTAGCTTTGTTTCTTTAAGCGGAAAAAAAAAACATTTTACTAAAGCAATTAATTATCACAATTACATAAAAATACTAAAATTCTTGAATATTTCACACTGAAAATCTAATTATATAATTTTAGATATCTTTCTTGGTAATATCAATTAATTTAATTATTATTATTATTAATGAAGTCACAGCCCAAATCGCGAACCGTTTTCTTTAAGGGCTCTGGGCTAACATTGTTTGAGGGCCCTCGATTAACACAATTTGGGACTCACGACTAACACTCTTTAGAGGTTTATCCAATTAACCCATGGGTTAGTTGTGGATATTTTTATTAATTCAAAAATAATGAACGTGATCGTTTATATAACAATAATCTAGTAATTGAAAAATTGATGCGAGTAAATAATGAATAATAAAATGGAAATTCATAATTGATTGGTTATAATTGAGTATCATTGAATAAATGTAGTAAATTGCATTCGCTAAAACGAACCCGCTTCATTGAAAATATGATTAATATAAATTAAGTAACTCAAAACTCTTGTAAGTCCATATAATTCATTAATCCATACATATTTACAAGATCTTCACAGAGGATAATCATCTTAATGAATGGGTCCTTAATATACATATATTGGATAAATGACCAAATATATTTTATGATAAAGAATGGGAATCGGATTATAGTGATTTAGATGAAACTTCCCAAACTATTAGTGAATCTTATCAAATGCAATAATTGCATCTTATAAATCTGTGAAAGAAGTAAAACTCAACAAAATCTTATCAATTTGAAAAGATTTGAATCTATGTGAATCAACAAGATATAATAGACAAAATCAGAACATGTTTTTAATTTCTAGCACAATTGTAACAAAAATTTGACAATTTTCTATGTTTTTATAACTTATTTTAAATATCATATTACGGACTTTAAATCTAGTTTCCTTGGTTACAAACATCTTCGGAAACAACATCTACTTCAATATTGATTTGTATTTATTAATACGTACCTCACTTTAGAAAATTACTGGCGATATTGCATATTAAGCCAATCTTGTATCCTAAAGCACATACCTATCTATTACTGCGATTCTAACTCAAACGTAAGTAAGAATTTAACTTTACCTAAACTTTTTGTATGTGTGTTATGAATGCACTTTCTTTTACATTACAATAATTTGATTAAATTATATAAACAATTTGAAATAAACTTTAGGAAAATATACAGATTCATTTATTAATTATTTCATTCAATAAATAAGACTAGTCAGAAACAGTACACCGCAAAGTGTGGTTTTAGCAATAGAGGAAAAAATGTATATTGGGTTTTTTAAACAATATTTATTATTGAAAACAAACATAAAAATTGTACAATAATATTTTTAAATGATTAATCCAGAACGCAGTCAGCATTTACTTCAATAACTGCTTCCCATTTTCAAATAGTATTTTTATTAAAAAATAAAGTAAACAAAACAACAATGTTCATTAACAAAAACCTGCCTACAAAACGCTTGATAATTATGCACCAACCCAATATACAAAAATAATTGTGTGTACTATATTTTTATAATTTCATTTTTATTTTTCTCAATTAAAATTTAGTATATTTTTGAATTTACTGTTCGAAGCCGCACTATGTGAGATATTGCTATTTTTATATAATTATTTTTAATATTACAAAATATATATAATTATAAATATTATAAAATATATGATATTTTTTCTAATAAGTCTTATTACGACGTAATTTGTATATATTAACACCTATCGTTAGAAAATTGTACGCTGTCCGTTATATTCGTATGTACGAAAGGCCATCGACTTCTCAGAGGAGAATATCGATCTGTACATTTGCAATCCTTTTAGGTTCCATATATGTAAGTGCGTGTCCTAACGATGCTCCTCGTATCCTCCTCGTAAACGTTTACTCTGGTGACTTCCGGAAGTTGGACTTCAATAACACTATAGTAGATAGCGTTTCGCGTGAGTTGGACGAATCTTGAACCCTGTGCAGAGTCCATTGTAACAATCGCTACGTATTCTAAAGTGCCACTGGAAGAGTGAAATGTTGCATATTTTTATTTTTCGAAACTTTCCAGCAACCGAAATATTTTTACATTTTATGTGGTTTCCATTTGCAGTTACGTTGTGCCATTCGTAGTATAATATTATACAAACAGAGTTTATGAATGTATATGTATTTTTTTTAGTTTATTTCTATTTTATAAATCTTGCTCTTCATGAAATAAAGTCCAGAAAAAGAGTTCACAAACTAAATTTTCTGATAATATAAATATAACCAGCTATTCTTTCAATATTTTACATTTATTTACTATATACAAACCTATATAACATTTTACTATTTGACTCTATTAAAAAATACTTAGAATTTAGTTATGCTGATCGCATAATTTTGAAGTTTGAATCAGGACACATCGTGACTAGTACATTTTGTCCCGATTAAGCGGCTGACAATTATCCTAATTCCACATAAATTACACGATTATTGTGTTTTAATATTGGATTTAATAAATTGCATAAAATAAAACAAGTCAAAAATGTATACGTAAAAATACATAATAATTATTAAACATATACGTAATCATTATTAGAAAATGATATAAATTCTGGAACAATAAATATGTATGTATCAGCCGCGGTCCGTCCATGGATGCGGTGGATCAGGCTCAACTACCATGCGCATGGATGTGTTCCGATTAAACGGAATATAATTAAAGGAGTAAATTTTTGTTATTTCCTTGGTTTTGTTTCCATTCTTTAGGAACTGTAACCAATAAACGGTTGTCCCGATTAACCGGTGTCCCAATTGACCTGGAATTGACTGTATTTATTTTATATCTAATTACTAATAGATGACATGTTGAATCTCTAATCAAAACCATAATGAATCCGTACATTCCACGATAACGTGACGTCAAGAAACGTCAACGTCATTATGATATTGGTATACGCCAGGATGACGTTGATTAACATCATTATGATTTCAAATGATTATATCATGATGATATCATAATGGCGTCAAGGAAAGTATTTTTTTCTTATCTATTACCCCAAAATAAATTTATTTACGCTAACTTGCCATTTTTTATACAACTGGAGCATTTTGTTGTTAGAGCAATTTGGATACTGAAACCAAATTACAAAATTTTAAATGATAAATGTTCTCATTATCCCCAACTTTTATGTTTACCCTGTTTGGATAATTTACCCCGATTCACCGATGATGTTTATTAACTTTACCATGTCTTCATTATGACGTTCGGTCACAACACGATTAATTGAAAAATATAATGAATAATTACTTCAATATTGCAGTACATGATGACTCTATTTCTATCTTCAATCAATAGTTTGAATATATTCTTAAAATGAACATATCTGATTGAGAAATAAAATTACGAGATAAACTAAATTAAAAAACTACAAAGCCAAATGCATAAACCTATGTTGCCTTGAATTATAATCCAAATGTTTTTAAATTAATTTCATTTGTCATATTTAGTGGAATGTATTCATCGCGGTCACTAAGAAGCCCACTAGATACATATACAGGATAGTCGCTTAATCCTGATTATTTTCTTTGTATAAATATTTTTACGGTTGATTTAACTTTATTTATTATGTTCTGATATAGTTTAGATATATATCAATGTTCATTTTTGTTTGTTCTTATAAAATAAGTACAAAGTGAATATGTTAATGGATTCCAACTAAGTTTAGAAAGCTACATTATCTACTCTATTTCGCATACATTTTACTGTTTTGATGGTTGCATACAAGCTTCATTATTAATACTCTAATTTTAATGGAAATTTGTTCATAATTGATACTTATCCTTTTACACTGAGTTTGAGTTAAATACATTTTATTAAATATTCTCAAATATTTTTCTCCACACAAAATCCACAAAGCACTTTCATATCAATCGTTTAAATTAAATTGAGTTTAGAAGTTAAATTTATCATGATTTGTTTAAGTTTTACATTTTAGCATTAGAATATGTACCATCTTCAATTAACTTATACCAAGAACGAATTACTTTACCACTAAAGAAAATATCAATATTTTTATTGAAACAGTTATAATAATCGATAGTAATCGATAAAAAGATGCAGTCAAATAATCGTCATCAAAATTATATCTTTTTTACTTAATAATTTTGTGTTCCCTGCAAATATCAATTATAATAAAATAACTTATTTCTTATAAAAACGTAACAAGAAGTTGTTTGCTTGTATCTTTATTCTTCTGTAGACAGAAAACAATTCCATTCTAAGACGATTACCTTCGCGTAATCCCTACGAGGGAAATTGCAAAATTACAAATCATCGATAATCCTTTTCTCCTTCTCTGCGTACATCCTTCTCTTTACTGCTCGTTCTGTATCCAGGTTTTCGTATGTTATACTATTTGCTATAACTTATCTTTAGCAGTGCTTTAAACATATCATCCCAATGGTGATTAACAATGATTTATCTTATTGCATTCTCCTCTATACACTACACACTCTTTTTTTATTTTCTTCTACTTTGTCGCAACTAGAGAGCCAGTGGATTTCGCGCAGGACTCGCACTCCATCACCCGCAATCCATGGACGTCAGGATAGGTATTACCTGGAACCCAGATATGGAAGACATCACAGGAACAGGAACGACAGTAAGTAGTTTATTGTTAATGCAAGGTTTAATCAAAGCCCGAAATTAGTTTCACTAATTAGCATTAGCCATACATGGAATAATTATGCAGTGGCAGTGCACTACTTCATTTACAGTAGTTGCAAAATACTTATAATATAGAAGGATAATATTTTTACATTTGCTGGCTCCACTCAAATAGAAATGTAATTAACTTATTGATCCAAATTCGCAAGGATGCAGATATAAAACTCACGTAAAACGAAACGCTTTGATATAAATGCAATTTATTTTTTTTATTTGCATTCGAATGCAATACATATTGCTTTGTTCTTCGACTATATGAAATTCTGGTGTAACTAAAGGGAAATTGCATTTTCCGATTTTCAAACGGATATTACTTTTCGACTCTTGAAAAAATTAACCTTTGATTCATTCCAATATGTATTCCTTAATTAATTAATAAAATTTCTCTATCGTATTTAATTAAAATATTCTTTGATGATAAATAATCAATCTGGAGAATGTCTGCCTATAGATATAATAAGATGAACACATGATACAAAGAGGATACAGAGAGGAGTAGAAAGTAAAAGAAGCTTTTATGTTCAAAAAATAAAATACTGAAATGTGTATTAATCAGAACGTAATATTTGCTGTCATACAAATAGTCTTGTCGATATAATGGTAAAGTCTATTTGTCTTACTTACAATATTTCTTAAAACAAAGAAATATTATGTTATACTCGAAACACTATAGTATTTCTGATAAATGTAGACTAATTCATCAGTTGGTTGTCTTGGGATTCCTATTAAATTCTTTTTATTTGCGGTTCACTATACTCAAACCTGTTTTACACAGATTATTTTTTACACTATTAGCAAATAATACGGTTTTTATTAAATGGGATATTACTATAATCTCGCGCTACATATAAAGGATTTCCTTCAAAAAATACTTGATAATTTTTCATTTTCTAATACCAAAAACGATAAATTTTGTCTTTGAGTACTAAATCTGAATCGTCATCATAGACAAGCGACATTATTAAAGTAATGATTTACATCTTATGACCGGATTAACAAGATAAGTTATATTTAATAATTGTTAAGTCGCTCTACTCACAATTCTGTGAGCGCTGGTTCGATTCCAGCCCTTATAAGCTACCTCGGCACTTAAAACAATAGGGACATTGTTCATCATGAATGATCAGTCAAATGAATGAACCACCAGCCAGGTCGATGGACAATGACGGTGTTAAGGATAGGAACAGATAAACAGACAAAGGGAATAGTGGAATCGCAGAGGATCAATATACTACTGAAGTTAACCTAGAAGACGACAATAATGTGTTGGTTACATTAAAAAACTTCCATTGGAAAGTTTACCAAAAACAAATACCAACCGCCATAAGATTTAATTAATGTTCACTGAATTAGATTGTAAAATAAATATGCTATATAACATAACAAATAAAAATATAAATAATGACTTCCATTTATATGTAAAAATTATTGATTTAATTCCTTCATATTCAATCAAAAATGAATGAGGTATTTACTAATTATTAGTAATTGACATATCTTATTTTATATACTAATTATTTTAAATATTACTTTATTCTCTAGCTTTTAGTTTTTTATTATTGTTTCTCTTATGTAATAAGGTAGTCTACTACCTAAATATGTGGATTGATGTAAACGCAAGACAAAGGATGTTGTCGAACAATTTCAAACATTGTTAAATATGAATTATACCATAACTAAATGTTTGCTGGGACATATTGTCCCAATAAGCTTAAAAGGGTTAATAAGCCGAATTAGTTATAAATGTTAAAATAAACATATTAGCTATATACTTGCACTATCAGTATAATGCAGTGATTTCCAAACTTTATGGTACAACGTCCCCCATTTAAAAAAAAACTAATCTTGGCGCCTCCCTTTTATGAAAATTATATTACTTGTAACCATTTCGCCCTATCTTTGCTCTAGTAAAAGATGGGTGGAAGATTAATTATGTATTTTATTCAGTTGCAATAAAACATGTATAAGAAGGAATTCTCACGATTCAAAATATGTATACGATTTCACAGGTATTAACTGAAAATGTGTGATGCAAACAATATATTTCAAATTCTTTAATTGTCGTTAAAAAAAAAGTGCAGAACTAGTTCCAAATATACAAAACTTTCTATAACTCATGACTAATTTAATTGATTATTTTGCTTTTTCTAAAAAATTGCAAAATCGACAAAAAAAAAATAGGTTAATCCACAGATTAAGTATCTGTTTAATGTTTATAGAGTAAATAAATAAATAAATAGATTAAAGTAATACAAAAGTTGAATAACAAAATAAACAGTACAGTCCTGCATGTTCTGCCAATATCCTGGACTGTTTAAAACCGGACTAATCGATAAACTATATACATACAAAAATATATCGCTTAAAAGAGACTTGGAATAGAAAAATAGATGATAATAGTAAAAAGTAAATAATAATAATAACAACTCTCAAAATAAATAAATTCTAACATAGATTTAAAAAAAAAATAATAGGCTGGCCAAAGGGCTACCGACCGAGGTCTTTCCGGCCATTTGTCTCCTATTATTTTTAAAATTCATTATTATTTAATAGTGATTATTATTTAAAGAATAATTTTAATTTTGAATTTCTTTTTTTATAATTTCAATAAAGTAAATTTAGCACTGAAACAAACAACTAATTAATCCCTAGATCGCTCATTGTAACCATCATAAATACATACAGTGACTGTGAAACAATTTTACTGAACATAGCAATAAAGTTATGACGTAAAAATTATGTACCGAAACGTGATTATTTATGGTTTAATTTGGTACAACATTTTGGGGCGCAATCGATATTTACGGGTATAGCGTAAATGTGCGTTATCTTGCGTGTCCCACCATTGGCACACTGAGCCCAATCGCCATCTGCTTCATTAATTTCTATCTATTGAATTTGTCAATCATAAATATCAGCGGTGCAGTATGCCGTACACACCGGTCTCCATTATTTATGACATCAATCCACTTCATCTACGCCATAATTAATATACACATACACTTACAATATAATAACATCTAGATCATCTAAAACCGTTAGGAATGCAGTCTTTCTTATTATCACATTTCCCATTTTAATAGAAATATTAAGATTCACGAACAGTCTCATAAGCCACACCTTAACGAATGCTTTATTTTTTAATACTTCTATTAAAACGCTGGATTATTTCTAGTGTTAACTTAATATCAGTTCTCTTCAAATTTTGAAGCTACCATTTCAGATCACACTTATGATTAATTTAGAATAACAACGTTAAACAGATCTTGTTATAACACAAAGTATAAACTTAAAAAAAATGCCAGATAATTCATATCAGAATTATAACAATATTATTTGCAAATGCATCCTACGCAATCTCCAATAAAACAAATTCAAGCGCTTGTACTGATGTGCTAATAATTAAATATTGTATGTAGAAGTAACAATCTCTAACTTCACTTATTTATAGATGGATATATATAACTAATAATTAATAGTTTAATTCACTTAACATCTGTAATGTCAAAGTATTAATGGAAATCATTGACGATTAGTCCAGGATTACATCACACATATTCTATTGTATAAATATATACACATTGATTAGTTAACTACTTTATTATCATCGCATACATGATGTTATGTAGCGCATACTCCAGGTGGGCTTCATGTGTGGTATATCAAAATGATGTATACGTAAGTTGATGACGAGATGAGACGCGCGTTATCAATTGATTCAGTATCAGTCGTCGTGATGCGTCGCAGCGAGACATGTGGATGAGATCGCTTGCCCATTTGTGTGGTTTACATAAACAACAAACGCCAGGTGAGACAACAATCGTGTAAACGAACAATAACAATAATAGTTGTCGCAAATGCACGTATCTATGAATGCATGTCTATTCAGTGGTCTATCTGAAGTGAAATGAAACAATAAACAACGGAGAATTATATACGAAGAGACAATTTTATCAACAAGTTTACGAAACTATATGTGCTTAATACAGTGCACTTGTTTATTTACAGATAAGTAAATTATTTCATAAAAATCACTGATTTCATCTGCAGTATCATGGGCTGTTTAATAACAATATCCTTAACTTCATTTAATCCATTTATTTTATTGCAATATAAATTATTTAATTAAAGCAATAATTTACAAGAATTAAATGCAGGTATTATAGTCAAGTTTAAACACCCGAAAAAATATACAAACTATTACGTTGAATGGTTGATTATTAAATAATGAAACTAAATATTGCACTATTTTGAACTTATAGTTAGTATTCAAAATTGATTATGAGCAAATGATGTGATTTGAATATTTGGTATTTATTTTTCGTCCTTTTTATTTATATTCGTTGCGTGACAAATATATTCTTGGAATATAAATTACTGAAATAAATTACCAAAGATACTGTGAAAAATACTAAACAAATTGTTGATACAACGTAAATTACGCGCACATGTTATTTAAACAATGCTAAGAAACTAGAGTTTTAAAACACTTACTCACAGCGTATTAGTATTAAAGTACTTGAAAGTACACTATTATTGTTTTACACCTAGTTCGATACATAACTTGCAATTATTATTTATACATCAGTTTCATATTTAGTTTGACATTACTTGTACAAAGTATCCGAGAAAAATGTGTCTCTATATAACGCGTACTGAGTATCTGAGTTTAGTTAACATATTCGCTGATCTTATCTCATTGAATGATTGATTTCCTGCCATTCCTCTTGGTCGGTCTCGTCAGGAAACATGAAAAGGATTAGGATAATCACGGTTTAAGTACAACTGTAGATAAAGTTGGGGAATGTACAAATCATTAAAAAAATCAAATCATTTTTAGAGTATAAAGTAATACAATTAAAAAATATAATATTACATTTATAAAAATCAATAACTAATTTCTAATACTTGCATTTATACGAAATGTGAAATTTT